AGATTCGCTTTCCATGCAAGTATTCCAATCAATGCGATCAGGGACACCAAAAACGCTGGCCATGACTCTCCTATAGCAGTAAAGAGATTCAAATTTCGAAAGCTATGACGCCAATATGAATACATACCGAGTGAATTGTAAGGGAAACCTTGATTCTTCATCAATAATATGAACCAGCGTTTTGCCACTAGGTAGCTCGATCGAGACATAGTTGTCCATCACATCTTCTAGTTCTTCCGCTCCTTCTTTGAGCTCTATTCGTAACTGTTTGCTAATCTGGTGGAATAAACTTTCGACCTCATCGTGAGGGATTGAATTGGGTACTGGAATGACATGCAACTGTGCATGGACTCTGTGAAGCATCCGCTTTGCGACCTCGGAGAATATGGGTGTACAAGAGTACGACTCAAAAAAGGATCGAATCGCCGATTTATATCTGGATCACTTGTGTCAGTATCATTATATCGATGAGAGGAAGTGCTGTTAAAGATCCATACCTGTCAATCTCAGCCAAAGTGGGACCTGCCTCATCAGCAGGCAGCGATCGTAATGTAGGGTAATGACTGATGGGAATTATCAATAACTCTCCTCCTCCGGGAACCGGAAATAGTTCCTTCATTTTGGGGTCATCAGAGTTGGTCACTGGTAGTTGACCTTTAGGAAGCGAAAGATAACACTCGTCACCAAGGGAGACAAGGAGATGTTTACTGTATTCTTTGTTAGTAAAGTCTGCCATAGAACAAAGGGAAACTTACGCGAGCTTGGGATTCGAAAGGCAGAACCAGCATTCCTCCGCTAACCAGTACGGTATCAGTCCACCGCGTCCAATTAATAAAACATACTCACCTCTAATTTCTTTGGGCGGTCCTTTGGCTCGTGTTTTCTCCCTCTCGACTCTGTTCTGTGCAACCACAAGACAGTCATCTATCATATGTGCTTCACTACCACAGGCTCGGCAGACATAGCCTGGTGGAGGCTTTCTTCCTCCAGTATCACCGGTTTCATCCTTGGTAGGACAATCTCGAATAAAGTGATCAGTCCCTTGGCATCGTCGGCAGACATAACCCTCCGGTGGTTTAGACTTTTGTGGGCAGTCTCTGATTTTATGCTAGAGTGATATCAGTCGTGACACTATTCTATATTATGTTGAGCCAACCTCTGTCGAGCCACAAATGCGGCAAGTGTACTGACGGGCTTGGCCTGCGTCTCTGGTGTTTTCTGAGGGAACCAAGTTAAGGAAGGAAACGATGGTTACTGAGTGTCTTCAAGCATACCTGTTCTGCGCCGCTTTGCGCCATCACGGCCCTCATTCGACCAGCGAAACTGAGGTCCATCATCTTCAGGCAGATGTCTCTTTTGCGCTGGGGGTGATGGTTGTGAAATGGGATGTGATTTTGATGCTTCATGTGGTATATATGGGTTGTATGTTGCGTTTGCTGGTAAAGGCGGAAGGGCAGTGTGAGGTGTTATGGGCACGATGCTGAATGCATAGCTCCACTGAGCTCATCAAAGCGGAACATATAAGAAGATGCATAGGAAGTCGTAGATAAACCGACATACACGGGGCTTTTTCTGTCCTTCGGGTGCCGTTCCACCAAACGCACCGATGGAGAGAAATCTCGTACACCGACCTACTTCCGCCATACCAGGCCACCCAAAAGGGTCTCGTTCCCAAAATATCCCAGGTCGGGAAACGAAGTGGTACCGAGGCATAGCTGCCCTGACAATGTCATCGAATGGTGGGGCAATTGGGGACTCCAACTCTTTCGGAACATTTGGAGTATGAAGAGCAATGGAAGCAGGAGGAATATGGGTGAGTAGTATATCAATTTTCGCGGGACTGACTTCTGACGCCGCTTTCAGGGCAGCCAAGGAGTTGGGATTTTGGTGTGCGTTGGTAGGTGCGGTTATAGATGGATGGGATATGAGTTTGCGAACATCGTACGATGTTACATGGTTTGAAGGGGCCTGGTGGTTATTTGAGATGATGACATTGTTCCAGAAGCAAGGGAATTACGAACGTATTTTGGGGATGAATAACTAGCTGGGTCATATTGGCCTCCTAAAGCCGCTATTCGGATACCTTGGGAGGTATTGATAACTGTGGACTTGTCTGTGCGAAGTTTAATGCTACCTTTACTGACACGAAAACACGGACTTACTCAACAAGAACAAGTTGACCGTGATTTCTCCTCCTGTCTCAGACGCTTTTTCTTGAACCCTCTCCGGAATTTTATGCTCTC